GAAATTCATATTCCATTGGTGATGAATTCCCACCATAATTATACAGGGTTCCAGTTCATACCACTTTATATTCCAGAATTCCTTGTATGTCGAAGCAGCTGAACTCTGGAACACTCTTCCTCCTGACATCTGATCCCAAGTTGATTGTATTTCTTTCAAAACTAAAAATTTTTTTTATTAATCCAAGTTGATTGTATTTCTTTCAAAACTAAAAATTTTTTTTATTAATCTTATGAATGTTTAAACATTTATTTTTCCTTCATTATATTTTATATGTTATTTTATACATTTTATCATATTGTTGTTGGCTAGGGCTTTAGAGATGACCACTTGTTGTTTTGGCCTTCAGCCCATGTCATCTCTAATCACGCCCCTGGTCAATATCTTTTATATATCATGACAAATTTTTAATACATACATAAATAAATGTTTACACAACACTTACCGTCACCAACCATTACTACACCGACAGACATCCCCATGAACTTTGACTTGGTCCATATCCATGCATTCATTCTGATACGTTTCTCTGGACATTCAGTATAGAATGCAGTAACTTTGAAAAACAAGACGAAAAAATTAAAATGCAACAATGTATTGAGACAGTAGCTTAAGGGTTGGTAGTTTGTACAACATGTTTGATTATAATATGGTAATAATAATAAATAATATAATAATAACAATAACTTTTGAGTAACACTACTGAATAAAACTAATCAAACAGGTTGAACAATAATATCGTTATCATCATCACTATTACCAGCAACATAATCAATAGCAATTGCAAAAACTGACAAAATATTTCTAGCAATATCTATAATATAGTTTATTTAGAAAGAGAAACAATGCGAATTACCACAATTCATATACAAACCTGGAGGATGATGGGATACTTGCTCCGCTAAGTAATTCAACCTACATTTAGAACTTCCCTTTGAACTCTGACCTGGTTGCTGTGGTGATGGAACTTGCCAAGAGCAATGGAAGCTCTCTCCAATAATTGGATTGTAAGGTTTTTTGGCTAATGAACCCTGGGAAATGTACAAGAAGCAGTTAGTGAAATAAGATAAATAAATGAAGGTGCTTTAAATGAAAGATGGAGGGAACACTTAAGTTGTAACTATATTAAGCAATACCTTAAGCAATACCTTATCTATCATGTCTATGTTCCAACATGCTGATCGCAAATGTACTTTTAGCCAAGTTATAAGCTCTGATGCTAATATTGCCAAAATGTTTTAACTGATACAGGCAAAAACTTTCAGTACACATCATATAAAATAAAAAGGTATGACATTAGGAAAGATGCTTACAATGCGATACTCTGATATCTAGAATTGTTACTGTACTTTTTCATGCAGTTACGAAGCACTCTTAGCCACTCTCCACAGTATGTAAAAAAAATTACCCCTCTCCCCGCCACCCAGTAGAGCTTGCATACAAACCGAACCCAAACAAAGTATGCCAACTTTTAATAAATAATGCTATAAAGTATTCAAAACAATAAACAAATAAGATTTTAAGAAATGTGAAAAGAAACTATTGAAATATGTGGGTTTTTGTTGTCCTACTTTCATGTGTTTTTCCTTTGTTTTATAGTCTGTTATGTTGAGTTATTAAACCTGAATATTAATAAGTAAGTTATTAAACATTTTCATGATCAATTAACAGAAGTCTGTAAATCAGTGACACCTGACTTAATCTGGTCAGTATTTTATTTGAAATAATTTACAATTCAGATACAAAACACTGTTCTTTTGGAGGATATAAATGCTCTAGGTATTTCCACTATCAATTTACCTTTCTTCCCACATGGAAGGAGCAGAGGTAATACTCAAGGACAGCTAGCATCCTAGCTTCTGGTGTAACTTGGTCGGCAATCCTTAGGAACATATCCGGATGCCCAAAGAAATCTGCAAACATTTCCAATAATGACCTCTTTTCTAAAATAAATGTTGGCAGGACAACCTGTAAAATAATTGTATCATAAAAAATGTTTTACTAAAATATCTTCTTAATAAGTATTTTTAATACACATCCCTTAATATACATCCATGTAGCTTAATTACTGCAATTCACTGGCCAGTACATTTTCATGTGTATTTAATAATGTATCTCTTCTTAAAGTCAGGCTCTGGAGGAAACAAAAATTTGATATGTTGTACAACTGATTTTCCAAGACAGAAAAAAAAATCAGTAACCACCCTTTTCTCCACCTTTTTCCTTCCAGTTTTTAAATATTCAAAAATCTGTACCTCATTAACCATTCCCTAGTTTTTCATCAAACTATTTTTTTTCTGTCTTAGAAAAATCAGTTCTACAACATATCAAAACATATTTTTTCCTCCGGACACTGACCTTAATGTATTGTACCTTTTTTTATGTACTTATATAAATTTGATTTATCTTGTAAATATATATCTAAATTTTTCATTGTTTACTGTACTGTGTTTTCAAATGCATTTCCTTCTGTTACGTTGGACAATAAGTTATTTTAGTATTCAGTATTCACTTTCAACATACCCTTGTCAGATCCATGCCAAGTTTGAGTTGAGATAATAAGTTATTTTAGTATTCAGTATTCACTTTCAACATACCCTTGTCAGATCCATGCCAAGTTTGAGTTGAGATAATAAGTGCAGGATGACACTCTTGTGTTGCTCCACTCCGCCTAATTCCTTCTCCTCATCAATGGCTGGATCACAGACATCATCATCATGGTTAATTTCTGCAAAAAATATATTTTACAGGGTTGTACTGACTCATTGTTTATGTACCTCTGTCCATATCTTTATATATTGATACGAAACTGTATTGTTAATTTGAACAAATAAAATAATTAACAATGAAATAATGATGATGTCATATCAGGCAGAAATTCAAATATGGTATAGCTCATATCTTCTTTGTAGTTAAACATTCATGATATTTCAATTAGTTATTACTCTAAATGGTACTTGTTGAAATAAAATATAGCTATATTGTATTTCATCAAATTCCAATTCTAGTAATAACTAACTGAAATTGTGAGCATTGGAATAGTACCAAATATTTTTGACATTCATGATTATAATCACAATATGTTAAGCAATGTATCTGCCTTTTAGTTTTATGCTACTGTGTATGCCTCTTCATTTGTATATTTTTCATGTGGATGTATTTTAAAGCTTTATTTTATTCTGAATTATAAAAATATTCTCTATTTTTTATAAAGAATCTGGAATGCAAATTGCATATGAGCCAAGCTGTGCATGGTATGTTGGCAAGTACATCATGTGTTACAACATGAGCCACAAACCTGCTACATTTCAATTTAATAGATTGTGTAGTGAAGGTTGCCGTTGATCAGGATGTATGTAGCTGACATCAAGGTAATAACATGTTTTACCACATCAAATTTTGACAAGCAATTACTTAAGCATTACAGATCTACTGCTGCAGCATAATTAATTTTGAAAATGATCCTATAAGGTACTGTACTGTGTTTCATGCCTATGTTCACAAAATGGAAATGTATAATTCTTATGATTAATTTTTATCAGTAGCTTACATGGAATAGCCATGTATAAATACTTTCCTTCATCTATGTTCTTAAAAACTCTTGTTTTACATTGTTAATATCTTTCAAAATTATTAAAGTTCCAAAACTCCCATTCTCTATGTTTCTATGAATCCTGTAGGTGGAAATTTGGTTTCAGTAAATATAATGACCTAAATTACCATTTATGCATAAATAAGTAAAATTAAAATAATGAGGTTGTCAAGAATCTCCATTTGTAAAAGTCCTTCCATGGGCGCCCTCTATTTCAAATTTCTGAATCCGCCCCTATTGTTAGGTTATGGAGCCACTTCACCATGTGGCCTTCTGCTACATCATACTCAGTGGGAGGCATGCTCAGCAAGGTGTGCATGCTCAGCAAGCGGTGCCAACATTTTGTAACCTGGACTCTTCATAACCCACACTTTCCATAACTCTGCTTTAGACAATTTACAAACAGAACATCTGTAATACCTGAAATGTGTTTAGTTGCCAAATGTCCAGTTTGTTAAAGGTGCGTTCGCGAGAGTTTTCTGTGGAGTCTAACACGGAATAAATCTGGGAACAGCTATTTCCAGTTCTAGCCCGAACGGGTGATAAACGCTCACCGCCTGCTGATATCCACTGATAATCCAACGCTGCAAATTGCAGTGTTTTGGAGGAGCAAAACAGCATGTGTTAGCAGCAGGGAGGATTTTTTTTATCTCTTAATCCCCTTTGATTGTTTAAACACGCCCCAGAAGTAAAGCCTGTTCAATTTTTCATGTCCCTGCTTACTTTTACACGTTATTCCCAAAAACGAAAGTGAAAAGCTTGATAAAATAAATTATTTCAATTGAGGGCTGGCCTAGAATCCAGATTGTTACCTTATTACATACTTCCGCCACATGCATACATGATCGTGGCCCCACTGCTTATTCGTTTAACGGTGGTAGTAATTTTCTGTTTTAAACAAATTAAAGTTTATTCATGGTTTATACTCCAAAATGCACACCTGCAATTTATTGGGAGTTTGCAATGTATGCTTCTTTTATTGTAGCTTCCTCGGTAATTTCATTACTTGATTTTGAGCCAACATTAAGCAGTGGACCAACGCCTAAGTCCGTTTCTTAATTAAAGTGTGGGGTGACACAAGGGTCCAGGGCAACTTGCATAATACCTTAGGTTTTACGTCCGAGGTTAATGGTTTTTTGAAAGCCCAGTTCTGCATGAGCGAGTAGACCACCCACGGATACAATACCAGTAAGAACCCTGTAACTTTTTCCGGTTCTCGCCCAAACACACCCTAAATGTCTGTGGCAGACTTTTAAGTCCAGTGTTTTTCAATATCAAAATTTGTTGATGTTGAATAGATGCTTCCAGCAATTAGTCATGCGTATGAGACAACGATAGAATACATTTTAAGTGAACAACAGACATAAAGATAACAAGACACCACAGTTCATAAAAATATTGTAACTGAATATTTATTAAACTGATATATACAAAACAGATAATCAACAAATACAATACACTTAAACAAACAAAATTTAAAAAATAAAATCAGGAACATTTTGTCAACCAGTGTAAAGTGAAGCCATAGTGATCAAAAGATTGCTTTAAAATTAAACACATTAAATATGTTATAAACATGCCACTTAAATTTAACCATATTATATGAATAGACAGTATTCATCATTATTAATAAATATTAATTTTCTAAAATTCATATTAGTTTTAAACTTCAGCTGAAGTAAACAGAAAAACAAAGAAATACTGTAGAAATGAATTATTTTATTTTCTGTCATTATGAGTGGTTTGCATAAACAATCAACTTGACTAGTATTCAGGAAGTGACATCAACAAATTGAAAAATGTTTTTACGATTAATGTATGCAACATCAATTATGTAACCGTCAGGAAATGAGAATCTAGATTTAATGTAGTCTACAATCATCAATTTAAATTTACGATTCGGAATTTTAGATATCAACGTACAGTAATTGAAGGATGGACAAAAAGATAATGCTATTAGCCTAGAGGAGCATTCGAAATAATGTTAAAAGAGATAAGAATTCAGTGAGGCTAATGGATGGCTGAAGTACCAGCCGACTTATGACGATGGATGAAAATGTGGGCTCAGCCTAAATTTTCATTACAGATCATGCGGGACAGGCATTTGGGCTGTTTCTTTTTTGCTACATTTTAGCCTCGATATTCGTTTACTTTCTTTAGTATACCCTTTGGAATTGGTCCAAGAGTAATGTTATTGGTAGAAATCTAAGCAAAAAATTGGACAATAAATATGAAAGGAGACAAATTTTTTTCTAATTATGAACTTGCGTACAGTATTAGATGACAAAAATAAGTATCAGTATTGGCTTTCTTGACCCGTGTCACAGTTAACTTATAACAAATGCATTTTGTATTCACTTTCGCCGACTGTAAAATGCACAGTAATGTAGGTGGCTACAGTATTGCATTACGAAAAATTCACACATGTAGTTTGGCAGGCTGTTAAAAACAAAAACTCAATCTGAATACAGAATTACCTTAACAACTATAATCGATAGATACTGTAGAATATTACTCTTTTATGATTTCCTTCCTATTGGCTTACATTGTTGTTAAGGTACCTCAATAGGTATCCTTTTCATTATCATTACTATCACAATACCATTAACATGTTACGGATATTTAATATTGCTTACAAAATTTACGCAAAAATATTTATGTCACTTGCTTTTCTAAAATAGTGATCAAAGGTATACAGTAATACATATTGACATCTAAAAATTTGTTAAAGCATAACTTTAATTTAAAAAAAAAAACATTTTTGGATGATATTTACATTCCATCCAAGCAAATGAAAGTGGATCATTTGTTTTTTCCCCAATGATTAAGTTCTTCTTAGTAGTTCTAAGAGTGTAGATGGAATGTACAGTTGGTTGTAATTTATTACAAGATTAGCTAAATAATATGAAGTTTTTGAAGATACATTTTTTTTAAATATTTTGCAGATTATACTATGGCTAAAGTTGGCATATATTACTATATTCATAGTGTATTTTGCCTGATGTACAATCAAATTCCTTTCTCAATAACCTGACATAAATCTACAGTATGTGTTAGCTATCAATTAGAATGGGCTGTAACACGGTGTAACGCCACGTACAATGTGTTGTAACACTGTGTAATGCTACGTACCATGTGTAGTAACATTGTGTAATGCCATATCCTATAAAAAATGAGAGTGTACGAATAGCATGCCACACATAACTAGATTCAGAGCGCATTATTGCCTCACCTATAGTACACAGTGTCCTAGCAAGAAGGTATCTTTTTGCTTGAATATCAGAGATACAAAATGAGTAAATTGCTCTGCTAGTTGTATAGTCAAATATACTCATGTTGTCATAGGCCTGAACCCTGTGCTTCAAATTTACATTTGTGCACATCACAATTCACATGCATGAATATTTTAACAGTTTCTGATGAGAATATGTGCATTTTAATTGGCCAATTGACTGCTTTCAGCTGAGGCCGTTTCCTCGAGGGTGCATGCATGGTGCCAAATTATATCAAAGAGTAATTTGATCATCCCTGATCACTGCCAATGCAAGGCAAAATTTGCACATGGAAGTTACATGTTCTGTTGTAAGGTGAGTTCTTCATTTTCACAAGAGTACAAAATTTACTCTAGGAGGTCAACAGTGTATGTATTCTTTAAAAAAAAAATTAGAATTGATGATTTCAAAACGACTACAATCGTTTTGTTGTACAAAATAATTGCACCAAATAATGATAACGTACATTAAGTACTGTAGGTAATTCTAGTTTAAATTCTTTTTTCAAGTCTGATTATTGGTTTTGGGCCTGCTTGGTTTATACAATATATAATAATTTCCTACTATATTGTATTAATACCCATGTAGAGAAGATCATTCATACGAAAAGTATGAAAAAAAGTAAAAAGGCAGATTAATAAAAAAACTACACATAAAATCCATTCCATTTGATAAAATTGTATAATTCACATTGTATATTACAAGTCCCTAGCAAACACAATGGCATTAGTCCTCAAGTATTCCATAGATTGCTTTCCTACATCCCCAAGAAGAATATTGTCAGCACCATATTTACTGTAGAGTAAATGAGGAGCTTCATTTAAACCAATCCAAATACAGTCCATTAATGACTGACACACGGGTTGGTGCCAGAAAATTCGGTACATTTATATACTGCAACACTCTTTACTAAATTCCAGGTGAGAGGGACTAAGATATCAAATGTTGCCTTATCAATTGTTTCATAGATAAATCAGGATTTACAGGGGCTCTACATCGATCATCTACCATGTACTAGGGCCTGGCAATACTATTCATCAGCCATCCACAGGTACTAGGGACTTGCACTTTTAAGTGGGGATGCGTTGTTGCTTTGCATTGAATTGCGTAGAAAGCCCTGAGAATCATCCAGAGCTTGTATCTGTGGAAGCAAGACATCAGCATTTGAAAAGCAACACCATTTATTGGAATTAAATTTTAATATTTTTTTTTAGTCCAATCAATTAAAGTGCATGCTTTTAATTCTAAATTTGATATTTTTCACATTAGTAATTTTTAATTGTTTGTGAGCATGCAACTTGTTCATTAGCTGATTAGTCTTTACGGCTGCGATGTGATTATGAATGAGTTGTGTGACCATAATACATGCTATTGGGGACAGATGCCAAGTATGGTGGTAAGCAATCATTGCAAGTTGACCTTGGTATGCCATGAATAGACAACTGCCGCAATAGGCAAAATGCCTGTTAATGAATAAGAAAATGACATTAGTACTATTAAAGCTAATGAAAAAAAGTCTACTTGCAATGTTAATGATAGGACTATATAAAAGGTATTGTCATGGAAACGCCATTATTAAATTCTACTAATAAACAGGAGTCGATGACATAAACAGAACTCAACTATTACTTTCCCATCTGTTGAATGTGAAACTCTAATTGTGTTTACCATTTCTAAAAATTTTAGAGGTAATTAAGAAAAATCTCACTTTCATGAGTGTAATGTGTGGTTGGCTACTGAAATTAAAAATTTCAATTTTCAATAACCTTCTTTTCTTAATAGCTGATATCATTCCACATAAGTACTTGATTTTCAGAAACAACATCTGTATTTGGCTGGTGTGTTTTGTTGCACTCAGCTGGAGAAACAAGTCATACAGTAATATAATTTATTATAATTAAATTATTTTCCCATAATTTAGAATATTTCAGAAATAATTTTTACACAAATATTCTATAACATATTGATGAATAACTGGAAATAAAGGGCTAAAATGATTTTTACAGATGAAACTATCTACGGTTAACATAAGAAAAATAATTGCAATCAGGAAAATGAATAGAAGAAAAACATTAACAAAAAATGACATCATACAGTGAAATGTTTAATCTTCGAAACTATTATTGTTAATAGACCTATACTTCAGCAGTAAAGAAGATAGTGGCATGCAATAAACAGATAAAAAGCAAACTATTGCTGAAATTTATTTTTAGAGAAATTAATCATGAGGTGAGCTCCAGAATTAATATCAATTGATGAAAAGCTGTTGCTAAAAGTGTGTCTAAATAAATATCAGCAATTATTTACATACTACAGTATAATCCTGATAATTTTCAAATCAAACATCTTGACTAATTATATATATATAAAATCACTTTATTGCATAAAAACAATACAGGAAACAAATAAAGAGCCCAGAACAGTGTCCCAAAACTGGGAGCACGCAAGGCTAAATGAGTTGACATACAAAAACATTGACACAAAATATACCAATATATAAAAGTATAAAAATAGAGAGAGGCCTATCATCAAATAAAATGCCAGAAGTCAAAGTATGGGAATCAGCTATTTAATGATCGTACCATATAGCTAGTGATCCCATTAATCATGCATTTTTTAGTAGTAGTAATTGTGCTATGAATGGGCTGCAGAAGATGTATATAATTATTTAGGATTCACCACCCATAGCGAATGTGTGCCACTGTTTCAAAAGTACATATTCAAATTAATTATTATTATTAGATTACTATATTACACTGTAACAATTACAATAACAAACATTAATACATTTCACGCTAATTATTAATATTTTCTTGTTAGTTTGATAATTTTTTATGAGGTACTCTGGAAAAGCACTTGTGATCACATTGCATCTATAAAGAGGTGTTCTAATAACATCCACTATTACTAATGCTAGACATGTGATTATCATGCAAGGATTACATCTCTACCATTATTATTATATAAATAAACAATAAAAACAATGCGACATAAAATCGGTTATACATTCAATCAATCTAGTAGTCACTTAAAAAATAACTTTCAAAATTATATAATATTCTGATTTTTAAATGAGAGCTAATGATATACATACATCAACATTCAAT